TCTCCACTTCTTTCTTGACTGCCTCTCCCACGACCTCTGCCTCTTCTTTGCCCTCTACCTCTAGGGCTTGAAGTTTCACCTAGTGTGGATATCTTTCATCTCCTCTATTGCACTTGTACGATTGAGCCTCTGCTCATGTACTAACAGGGAGCTTTGGAGTTCATCTATTTGCATCTCTTCAACATTGTTTGCTTCTTCGATAGAACATACAATGTAATCGAACTTTGGAGTTAGTGATCGCAAAATCTTTTCTACGACCGCAACATCCATGATTGAATCACCATGCATCCTCATTTTACTTGCAAGACTTATAACCTTGCCAATATAATCATTCATCGTTTCTCCCTTTTGCATTTGGAGAATTTCAAAGTCTCTCCTAACTGCTTGAAGTTGAGCACGCTTTACTCTCGTTGAGCCTTGATACTTCCTCCTCATAGAATCCCAAATTTCCTTTGATGTCTTCTTCTGAAGCATTGTTTCCAAGATAGTCCTATCAATGAACTGAAATAAATAGTTCTTGACCTTCAGGCCCTTCAACTTCGATGCTGCCAACAGTTGCTGTTGACCAGCTGAGAGTACCTCGCCTTCACTTGGCTCTTCATAACCCGTCTCCAACATATCAAAAAACTCCTTTGATCTAAGAAAATTTTCCATCAACATCGCCCAATGATCATAGTGACCATTGAACCTCGGGATGGCGGGCTAAACGTAGCTCTCAACTTGTTTTACTTGCTGCTGCAAGATTGCTCTGATACCAGTTGTTGGTGACAACAAAAAATTGAAGTAAGATTGAGAGAAGGAGTGATTTGAATGATGAGAAGGGAGGTCTTTTATAGGACGGGATTTCATTGATTCTCAGAGTTGGTTGGGATTTTTATGGATGAAATTGAATTCACCTCCTAGTAACTAAATTCAAACTTCTATTATTAGCTTCAACAATTGTAACTTATAATTTAATCATCCGAGACATGATTAAGACACCTTGTTTTGTATCACATATTCTTGGTCTTTTCCCTACTCAACTCAATTGCTATTCCGCAGCCACGTCGTCTACCATATGAACTTTTGTTGTGCACAATTTAACACTTGGCTAGCACATGTCTCATCTAACCTTCAACTTTTTTGCTTACGATCATTGACATTGTTCCTTTATGTGAATGGTTCTTTCAAAGGCACCCTACTTGGTACACCATTCTAACCATATGTTGCCCATTTGGAACTCCAAGTTCTTGGCAAATGAGCTTGGTTCATGCTTCATTGACGGGTAAGACTCTTCTTCGGGAGTCAGCTTTAACCCACAAAGCTATTCTCGAATCTGACTCACAATCATCCTACCCAATCTGGCACTCGTGACCCACTTGTGAAGTCTTCATTCAACCATCGACTTTATTTCCTAACTTTCTTGATCGATTTAGACACACAAAGTGTTGCTCTGGTACCAACTGTCACCGTCATACTTTTTCAACTGTGTGACATCATGATCTTAACACGCTTAAGAGATTTCTTAAGGGAAATATTCTCCTTTGCCTGACTATGTAGCTTCATCGAATCTTAGGCAATATTCTCATCTGTCAACTGAACACAACTCATGTAGAATCTAAGCTTGTTCGGCCACACACGTTACCCATGCGTGCATGTTCTATCATCTACGACTCTCGCCGACTTGCCTCTAGTCTAGGTCAAGACATGCGGCTCAACTTTACCTCTACTACAAGCCAAGATCCCTCATATGCAACGTCGCATCTTGATCATCATCTTGATTTCCTACACCATGACCCATGCATCGTGATGTCATCCCAAGTTTTAGGACAGCTTCGACCATCATAGCCTACTCGGACATGTCTATCAAATTGATCCATGTGTCAATCATATCGTCGGGGCATCCCGTGCAACATCCATCCAGGCTTGATCATGGGATGAACCCTCCCATGTCCATGCAAAGCCATTTACGGAAACTATACTGAACAGTGGGTGTACATACCAACCTCCGACACATGGGTTAGGGTGCAATGTCGGCACATTCGTGTCATCCAACATTCTCCTTGAAAATTTTATTCCAAAGGAAGTTGTTTGAAACCCATCTCACAATGCTCGCCCACACTGTGACACACATATGTGCCACATGGCAGCTCACTTAGGCCACAGGGTATAGGGGCAGTAGAGAGTTGACATCATACCTCTCCTTATAGTACATTTTAGGGCATATTTGATCTTTCTAGAGTATATGTGATTTTAGAAAGCAGTCATTCGTCTCATGGAGTGTCCGATTGACACCAAATTTGGTGAGGTTTCATCTTTATATAGATGGGCTTAACTTCAGAGCCACATGTTGAAACTCATTGAAATCCTGACTTCTGACGTTTTGGCCTAGGGCTCTACCCAACCCTCTTCGAACTTGTCTTCGACACTCATGTTGCCATCATTCCCTCCAACCTTCCTTATGCCTCAGCTTAGCTTTAGCGTACACTTTTCTTGGTGTGTTGGATGATACACCATCTTTCTCGATTGCATCATGACATTTATCTATTTCGACCCTCACGTGGTCAAATGGGCATCACTTGAGGATTGCCACCTTATCTGTTCTCATGTAGAGAGTCACAACCTACTATGTTCTTAGTAAGGTTGTGACACTTATCACGACTCCGGTGTAGTAAGAATTTTAAAGAGTTTGATAAGACTGAATTTTAAAGAGTTTGATAAGACTTTCTATACTTTTCTCTCATGTGCAAATTAGGTCATCAAAAAACAAAGTAGGGAACTACAAACCTAGAGCATGCATACTCGTGCATGGCTGAATTTCCTTCATTTTCCTTCATTGTTCAGCCTGTTCTCTTATGCTTTCCTTAGTTTTGTTTTTGAATTCTCTTTCTTTTATCAACTTTGTTCTTTTAGTTAAAAATTACTCATAACAACTATCAAATTGCATCGCTAATGACAAATGAGGACACAAGGATGATCAACTAGGGATGTACAATCAATCTAACCACTCGTACTAACTCAACCTGAATTATAAGGGTTAAGTTGGGTTGGATTAGCATTTCGGGTAGGATTGAGTTCATTTTTCGAAACCTAAACTAAATCGGTTTGGTTTTGGGTTTGTGGAATAAAACGTTGACCTGAGCCAATTAAAAATATATTTATTTGATGCAACATTATTATATCACAATAAATAAATAAATAAATAAATAAATAAATATATATATATATATATATATTCTAATAGGTTAGGGCTCTTTGGCTTTATCAGTATAGGTAAGTATATTTCAATTAAAATATTTTTATAGTACTTTTTATTTTTTTATATACCATCTCTTTAAATTAATCATTTTTATTGTTTATTTAATTTCATAATCTATCCTTATATTTTTTTCTTACTTTAACCAATTTTCAAGAAAGGTCTGTATTTAGTTGTCTTTAGTTTCATAACAATGTTGAACTACGTTAATATATTACCATTTTTGCTTGTTTTTTATTGAATTTTTTTTTTTTAATAATTATAGATTGATTTGTGTTTGTTTCTTCACTTTTAATATATTGTATCTAACATGTATTGGAGCAAATATAAATGGTGGATAAATAAAACTTTTTATTTTTTTTTGACAACCTAAACCCAACCTAAAAATTTTCGGGTTGGATTGGGTTACCAATCTAACCAACCCAAACTTTTGGGTTGGGTCAAAAAAATCTCTTACCCAATCCAACCCAACCCCAACCATGTACGTCCCTAAGTATAACCAAACAAGGTACTTATCCAAGCTGAAAAAATGTAAGTGAAGTCTATGTTGGTTCAATCTTCTCGTCTTGATAGTATTCACAAGCAACTACTTTTCGAGTGTCCCAACATCTTTTCTTAAAATACTATTTCAATTGTAACATTTTAGATGGAATGAAACAAACGAATCGACTCATTCCACACCAATTTTCATTTTATTTCTTTAAAACAAAGAATAATCATACCGGTAAAAGTCGGTAAATAGTTGTGATGTGAACTATAACATCGTGGTTAAGACATTATGCTATCAACTAGAATGTTAGTGGTTCAAATCTCTCTATCTTTTAAAATTATTTATATATATACGTATCCAATATCTGTATCTAATTTGACGAAGGATTACCATCAACTAGATATTACAACTTCGATCTAACTCAACAAATAAAATGCTAACAATACTCGGGTTCTATAAGCAAATTCGGGAGAAGCATTCTCATGCATTCGAACTTTTTTTTATTTTGTTCGATACATTTATATGTCCACAACATTAAGATGAAGAATACAGCTCCAAAATGAAAAACCAATAGAATTATAGCATCCACAACTAATCCCAATAACCTTTTGTGGGGATTATTAGGCGCTAATGACATGGACCACAAACAAAAGCAATACTAAAAGATATTGTTATACGTAGAACCGATTGTGGAACCATCTGAAGAATTTCAGTGAGTCTTGAAAATAAGATGATTCTGGAAAGAATTTTTATCCAAACATTAATTGGTCGTGTATTAGCGGACGATATATATATATGGGCCCGCGATGCATTGGCATACGAAATCAAGATATTGGTATTGGACTTATCAATCAATTCATAACCTTTTAAACACAACCGATATCTATTTGGACTCCATTTACTTGTAGGAGTACATCTTGGATCTGCCGATTATGTTATAGACGAAGTCCTACTCACGAGGACCTACTCACGAGGACCTGGTCGAATTATTATCTATGCTCAAAATGATTTAAACATCCATTCAACAAATTCAAAACATTAAAGCTTCTCTGGCTACCCCCTTTGTATGTGTGTGGAGTCCGAATTTGTTGAGGATTGTTGAGAGGGAGTCCCACGTTAAAAGTTGATCATAGATTTATAATTAAGGAATAGATCTACATTGGTATGAGACCTTTTGGGAAGCCCAATGCAAAACCATGAGAGCTCCCGCTCAAAGTGGACAATGTAATACCATTGTGGAGAATCGTGATTCCTAACATGGTATCAAAAGTTGTACTTTGTTCGAGGGCTCCAGAGAAAGGAGTCGAGCCTCAATTAAGGGGAGTTTGTTCGAGGTCTAAATAGGCAGAGAGTCGTAATTCCTAACCAAATTTCCATAGAAAAGAAGAAATTGAAATGCCTGGCTTACCTGGAATGAGCATGCCTGAACGCTCGTGTTTTTAGCCTCGAGTGTCTTCTTCCATGCATTCGTATAATGCAAGTTCGACCGTCTTCAAACCAGCATGACATGAATTCAGACATGAGGAAACTATCCTCCTTTGAAGATCTTTATAGTTCAATGCTAACTTTATATCCCATTCTGTACTGCTCCTGCAAGGACCAAAACTTTCAAGTTTATTCCATGGAAAAGCGTTGTTTCGAGACGACGTTGCTTTCGGAATTGTATAGTTTATACTCTATTACAGTTTCGAAAATGCTTCATTACCTGTCTTCATTCACATCCTCAAGATTTTCCATCATTCCATCAAAGATTGAGAGGAGATCATTAAGGACTTCCATTTCATTTTCCAAGCTTCCCTGCAGCTACGAAGTTAAGATAAACAAGTAATAATAACTGATAAACAAAATCCTGTATCCTTGACCTGCAACGTTACGATTGAGAAATGAGCGAAACGAGATAAGAATTACCTTGAGCTTGGTGCGTAATTCAGGGCATCGAGCTTTACATAAACACTCTAATAACGGTGAGGGCAGACCATAATGGAATATGCTTTGGTTCTTTGACAACCATGTTCCCCTCACCATATGAGTACTCCAGTCTGATGTGATGATATCGCTAGCATCATCACCGAAGTCGATGTCTGCACTCGACAAATAAACAATCGTAATATAAGAAAGTCATACATAAATCAAACATTGAAGTAAATAAAGCATCCTTCAATTGTCCACTAGACAGAACAAGAGAATACCTAATGGAATGACATCATTTACGTTGTCTCCTTCGGGTAAAAATCCATAAAAAGCAACCAGATGAGAAGCAGAGTAATTTCCATAACTAAGATAACATTCTTCTCCTGCACGGCATGGTCTTGATAGGCGGAATTTCAATGAATTTGTATCTGAATCAGCTTTGCTATAGTGTAGTATGTGTGGATGCAACTGAGACCAAAGAACCATATAACAATGAAGCAAAGGAAAATGGAACTCAATTTCTAAATAGTAAAGTAAATACTTCCAATCGAGTATGCATCTGAGTTTAATGTTGAAAATTATGTTTTAGAAATATGAAACGGCCCAGGCCCAAGCTCACCGCTAGCAGATATTGTCCTGTTTGGGCTTTTCCTTTCGGGTTTCCCTTCAAGGTTTTTAAAACGAGTCTGTTAGGGAGAGGTTTCCACACCCTTATAAAGAGTATTTCGTTCTCCTCACCAACCGATGTGGGATCTCACAATCCACCCCCCCTTTAGGGCCCAGCATCCTCGCTGACACTCGTTCCTTTCTCCAATCATGTGGGACACCCACCAAATCCACTCCCCCTTCGGGGCCCAGCGTCTTTGCTGGCACACCGCCTTGTATCTACCTCCCTTCGAAGAATAGCCTCCTCGCTGGCACATGGTCCAGTGTCTAGCTCTGATACCATTTGTAATGACCCAACCCCACCAATAGCTGATATTGTCCTCTTTGGGCTTTCCCTTCGGGCTTCCCCTCAAGGTTTTTAAAACGCGTTTGCTAGGGAGAGGTTTCTACACCCTTATAAAGGGTGTTTAGTTCTCCTCTCCTCCCAACCGACGTGGGATCTCACAGAAACTATGGTCAGCAGCACAGTCACAAATTTGAAAGCTATTGACCGCCATGTAACTAGAGGAAATCGATTGACATGAGAACAGAGGTAACAGCAGATACCAAACAAGGAGCGGATTCCTAGTTCAAGTGAATTACACTACTTTTCGTACAATTTTCTCAAACTAAACTCATCCCCCATCCACGAAGCAGGATTCTGATAGGGGACGGACACTACAGTAACATACCGAGTGATTGAGAAAACCTGCAATCGGAACCAAACAGCTTGTAAGACTTCCATCAGAAAACATGATTTTCATGCTATTTGAATACCAAAGTTCACAAGCCCATAAGAACTTCTCCCATGAATAGTACTCCTCAGGGAAGACGTCAGGATGGTTGTTACATAACGTAGGAAATAACTCATTGTATTGTTCCCGCAAGTGCTGCAAACAAGTCAACGTTACATATAAATGCAAGTTTGAAAATCGAATAATGATATTACAAAATGTAGAGAGATTACCTGTTAACAACATAACTAGAGGAAACTAGAATTCATGCTAGCTTGTTAGATGAACCGGACTCGTTGATTATAAACCCATGATCATTCCCTAAATTAGCCGATGTGGGACTTTCATCCAACGCCTCCCCTCGAACAAAGTACACCACTCCTTAATCGAGGCTTGACTCCTTTTTCTTTTGGAGTCTTAGTCATTTTTTAATATGCCTTCGAGGCTTTTTTTAATATGCCTTCGAGGCTCACAATACTTTTGTTCGACATTTGAGGATTCTATTGACATGACTAAGTTTAGGGCATGACTCTAATACCAAGTTAGATGAGCACAACTCTCCACAATGGTATGATATTGTACACTTTGAGCATAAGCTCTCGTGGCTTTGCTTTAGGCGTCCCCAAAAGGCCTCATACCAATGGAGATAGTATTCTTTGATTATAAACCCATGATCATTCCCTAAATTAGCCGATGTGGGACTTTCATCCAACACATACTAGCCCCTAGAGGTTGTCTTAACAAATAAATATTGACCGACACGATATGTGAGAACTAACCTCTTTTGCTTGCATTATCTCACCGAAAAGCAGGGTTCCGTCCAAAGTCATCATTGCACCAACTCCAAAACTCAACCCTGAGAACTTGTAAAATATTAGACCAGGAAAATAAAAATTACTTCATGCACGTGTCAGCACACGGTTAGTGTTTAGATTATTCAAACATAACTATAGTCTTGTCATTTTCCCACTTTAGAGATCAAAAGTCAGATAGTCATAATGATAATATTGATTACAAAGGAAAGGTTACAACATGTGAGATAAAAAGTATGCACCTCTATGGTCCTAAAGTATGAAGGTATGACTCGTGAAATGCCTCATAGAAGGTCAAAAATTTTCATTTTGAGGCTATATAAAGTCATGTATGTTATATTTGTAAAGTAGACTTCACAAGTGTGTCACGAGTGCCAGATTGGGCAGGATGATTGTGAGTCAGATTCGAGAATAGCTTTGTGGGTTGAAGCTAGACTCCTGAGGAAGAGTCTTACCCATCAATGAAGCATGAACCAAGCTCATTTGCCAAGAGCTTGGCGTTCCAAATGGGCAACATATGGTTAGAAGGTATACCAAGTAGGGTGCCTTTGAAAGAACTATTCACATAAGAGGAATAGTGTCAATAGTTGTAAACAAAAAAGTCGAAGGTTAGATGAGACATGTGCTAGCCCAGTGCTAAATTGTGCACAACGCAAGTTCATATGGTAGACGACGTGGCTGCAAGATAACAATTGAGTTGAGTAGGGAAAAGACCAAGAAAATGTGATACAAAACAAGGTGTCTTAATCGTGTCACGGATGATTTAGATTTAAGAAACTTTTATTGTATTTTTTAAGTTCTAGAGAATTATCTTTGAATTATAAGTTACAATTAGTTACTCGTCATTATGGTTTTGATGGCCATGAAAGTTACCGCTCGTAGGAAGATTTTTGGGTATTAAAAATGAAGTTGGCATATTATTTTTGGGTATTAGTTTGTTACTTTGCATTTCAAGTAGTTTTGATCCAACTATCTTATGGAGTCATTTGAATCACAAGTTTAGAAACAAATTTACTTTACTTTTGATCTTGATTATCAAGGTAATCCGTTCCAAAACTTTCCCTTGGGTTGATTCCTTATCGTTCTTGGGGTTCTTGGGTAATTTAGATCTAAAGATTTTGTTTTTCAACAAGATTATTAATAAAATTCCAAAAGTTTCATATCATTTTAATCTGGTTGAAAAAAATCTTTACATCTAAGTTATTCGATAACACCAAGAAGTATAAGGAATCATCCTAAGGAAAAGTTTTTGAACGGATTACCTTGATAATCAAGTTCAAGAGTAAAAAAACTTGTTTCTAAACTCGTCTTACAACAATCTCACTTTAAGAAGTCACACAAAGTATTGAGTGTGAGTGTTGATTTGAGTTCAAAGTGTTAATTTGGATTCTCCGGTGGTATAGTTGGTTATCACATTAGTCTCAAACACACTAGAAGCCCCAAGTTTAAACCTATGCTCAGACATATTTTAAATTATATTTTAACACTTTCTACTTACAACATTCTCACTTTAAGAAGTCTCGCAAAATATGAGTGTTGATTTGAGTTCAAAGCGTTAATTTAAATTTGTATCTTGTCTAGGTGGTGTAGCTGGTTATCACGCTAGTGCATACATTAGAAGTCCTCAATCTTAAACATTTTTAAAATTATGTTTTAATTTTTTTCTTAAAACACTCTCACTTTAAAAAGTTTTCCGAAATATGAGTGTTGATTCGAGTTCAAAGAAGTAGTTCAGATTTTAATCTTGTTTGGGTGGTGTAGTTGGTTATCACGCTAATTTCACACACTAGAAATCCTTAATTCAAACTTGAGCTCAAACGTTTTTAAAATTCAGGTTTTTAACTTTTTCCTCAACAACATTTTCACTGTTGATTCGAATTCAAATCGTTATTTTGGAATCTCACATTGTTTGGGTGGCGAGAGGTCTCCGGTTCGAACCTGGCTCAGACATTATTAAAATTATGTTTTTACTTTTTCCTTAACACCATTTTCACTGTTGATTCGAGTTCACATCGTTATTTTGAAATCTCACCTTGTTTGGGTGGTGTTTTCACTGTTGATTCGAGTTCAAATCGTTATTTTGAAATCCCACCTTGTTCACCTTGTTTGGGTGGTGTTTTCACTGTTGATTCGAGTTCAAATCGTTATTTTGAAATCCCACCTTGTTTGGGTGGTGTAGTTGGTTATCATGCTAGTCTAACACACTAAGAGATCTTCGGTTCGAACCTGGGCTCAGACATTATTAAAATTATGTTTTTTATTTTTTTCCTTAACAACATTTTCACTGTTGATTCGAGTTCAAATCGTTATTCTAGAATCTCAACTTGTCTGGATGGTGTAGTTGGTTATCACACTATTCTCACACATTAGAGGTCCCCAATTTGAATCTGGGCTCTAACATTATTAAAATTATGTTTTTACTTTTTCCTTAACACCATTTTCACTGTTGATTCAAGTTCACATCGTTATTTTGAAATCTCATCTTGTCTGGTGGTGTAATTGGTTATCACGCTAGTCTCACACACTAGAGGTCCCCAGTTCTCTCACACACTAGAGGTCCCCAGCCCTGGAATCTAATCTTGTCTGGGTGGTGTAGTTGGTTATCACCTCAGACATTATCAGAATTATGTTTTTACTTTTTCCTTAACAACATTTTCACTCTTGATTCGAGTTCAAATCATTATTTTGAAATCTCACCTTGTCTGGGTGGTGTAGTTGGTTATCACGCTAGTCTTACACACACTAGAGGGTCCCCAGTTCGAACTTGGGCTCAGACATTATCAAAATTATGTTTTTACATTTTCCTTAACAACATTATCACTGTTGATTCGAGTTCAAATCGTTATTTTGGCATCCCACCTAGTGGGTGGTGTAGTTGGTTATCACGCTAGTCTCACACACTAGAGGTGGTCCCCAGTTCGAACCTGGGCTCAAACATTATCAGAATTGTGTTTTTACTTTTTCCTTAACAACATTTTCACTCTTGATTCGAGTTCAAATCGTTATTTTGAAATCTCACCTTGTCTGGGTGGTGTAGTTGGTTATCACGCTAGTCTCACACACTAGAGGTCCCCAGTTCGAACCTGGGCTCAGACATTATCAAAATTATGTTTTTACTTTTTCCTTAACAACATTTTCACTGTTGATTCGAGTTCAAATCGTTATTTTGGCATTTCACCTAGTCTGGGTGGTGTAGTTGGTTATCACGCTAGTCTCACACACTAGAGGTCCCCAGTTCGAACCACCTAGTCTGGGTGGTGTAGTTGGTTATCACGCTAGTCTCACACACTAGAGGTCCCCAGTTCGAACCTGGGCTTCTGGGTGGTGTAGTTGGTTATCACGCTAGTCTCACACACTAGAGGTCCCCAGTTCGAACCTGGGCTCAGACATTATCGAAATTATGTTTTTTCTTTTTCCTTAACAACATTTTCACTGTTGATTCGAGTTCAAATCGTTATTTTGGCATTTCACCTAGTCTGGGTGGTGTAGTTGGTTATCACGCTAGTCTCACACACTAGAGGTCCCCAGTTCGAACCACCTAGTCTGGGTGGTGTAGTTGGTTATCACGCTAGTCTCACACACTAGAGGTCCCCAGTTCGAACCTGGGCTTCTGGGTGGTGTAGTTGGTTATCACGCTAGTCTCACACACTAGAGGTCCCCAGTTCGAACCTGGGCTCAGACATTATCGAAATTATGTTTTTTCTTTTTCCTTAACAACATTTTCACTGTTGATTCGAGTTCAAATCGTTATTTTGGCATTTCACCTAGTCTGGGTGGTGTAGTTGGTTATCACGCTAGTCTCACACACTAGAGGTCCCCAGTTCGAACCTGGGCTTAGACATTATCAAAATTATGTTTTTACATTTTCCTTGACAACATTATCACTGTTAATTTGAGTTCAAATCGTTATTTTGGCATCCCACCTAGTCTGGGTGGTGTAGTTGGTTATCACGCTAGTCTCACACACTAGAGGTCCCCAGTTCGAACCTGGGCTTAGACATTATCAAAATTATGTTTTTACATTTTCCTTGACAACATTATCACTGTTAATTTGAGTTCAAATCGTTATTTTGGCATCCCACCTAGTCTGGGTGGTGTAGTTGGTTATCACGCTAGTCTTACACACTAGAGGTCCCCAATTCGAACCTGGGCTTAGACATTATTAGATTGATTCGAGTTCAAATCGTTATTTTGGCATCTCACCTAGTCTACACTAGAGGTCCCCAGTTCGAATTTGGGCTCAAACATTATCAGAATTGTGTTTTTACTTTTTCCTTAACAACATTTTCACTCTTGATTCGAGTTCAAATCGTTATTTTGAAATCTCACCTTGTCTGGGTGGTGTAGTTGGTTATCACGTCTCACACACTAGAGGTCCTTTGAACCTGGGCTCAGACATTATTAAAATTATGTTTTTACTTTTTCCTTAACACCATTTTCACTGTTGATTCAAGTTCACATCGTTATTTTGGAATCTCACCTTATCTGTGTGGTGTAGTTGGTTATCACGCTAGTTTCACACACTAGAGGTCCCCAGTTCGAACTTGGGCTCAGACATTATCAAAATTATGTTTTTACATTTTCCTTAACAACATTTTCACTGTTGATTCGAGATGGGCTCAGACATTATCAAAATTATGTTTTTACATTTTCCTTAACAACATTTTCACTGTTGATTCGAGATCAAATCGTTATTTTGGTATTTCACCTAGTCTGGGTGGTGTAGTTGGTTATCACACTAATCTCACACACTAGAGGTTTCCAGTTCGAACCTTGGCTTAGACATTATTAGATTGATTCGAGTTCAAATCGTTATTTTGGCATCCCACCTAGTCTGGGTGGTGTAGTTGGTTATCACGCTAGTCTCACACACTAGAGGTCCCCAGTTCGAACCTAGGCTTAGACATTATTAGATTGATTCAAGTTCAAATCGTTATTTTGGCATCTCACCTAGTTTGGGTGGTTGGTTATCACGTTAGTCTCACCCACTAGAGGTCCCAGTTCGAATTTGGGCTCAAACATTATCAGAATTGTGTTTTTACTTTTTCCTTAACAACATTTTCACTCTTGATTCGAGTTCAAATCGTTATTTTGGAATCTCACCTTGTCTGGGTGGTGTAGTTGGTTATCACGCTAGTCTCACACACTAGAGGTCCCCAGTTTGAACCTGGGCTCAGACATTATCAGAATTATGTTTTTACTTTATTTTCACTGTTGATTCGAGTTCAAATCGTTATTTTAGAATCTTACCTTGTCCGGGTGGTGCGCTAGTCTCACACAGGTCTCCAGTTTGAACCTAGGCTCAAACATTATTAAAATTATGTTTTTACTTTTTACTTAACACCATTTTCACTGTTGATTCGAGTTCACATCGTTATTTTGAAATCTCACCTTGTATGGGTGGTGTAGTTGGTTATCACGTTAGTCTCACCCACTAGAGGTCCCCAGTTCGAATTTGG